CGGGCCTCTTTCCCAGGTCCTTGTCCTTTCAGGGGCTGCCCTGGCCTTTAATGCTTGTCGTTTGTCTCTTCAGCGAATCAGCAGCACCTCGGTGCCAGTCTCTCTCGCTGTGGGGCCACCTTACTGGGCACTCCCACTGCCCCACCCCTGCACCCTCTCTCGGCGCTGTGCAGTCTAGGTCTGTGGTTTGGCCCCAGCACACATGACCATCATGGTGGTCTGGAGGCCGATGACCCCTGCATGGACGTCCCAGCACAGGCCTCTCTCCCAGGACGAACCCCCTTACTGGAATACATACTCAGACCGCAAGTCAATGTGTTCCTAACAGAGCCAGTGGCTTCCTTCTGAGCCCGTCAGCTCCCTCCTGCTCCACGCTCGATGGCCGACCAACCTACGTGAGCTAGAATCCAGGGAGAGACGTGTGCCCACCCTTCCTTCTCTTCCCAAACCACTGTTGTGGCATTCAGCGTGTTCCCCTTGTGGATCCTAAGTTCCCGCGTGTATGCCCTCCTTTCCTCTGCTGCCACCATCGTCTGTGTTGGGCTCTTACATTTCGCCTGGAGTAGCCTCCCTGGTCTCTTAGCTCCTCGCCCTCCTTCCACAGGCCCCACTCTTCCTGCACTCCCCACACAGCAAGCACAGGGCTCTGAGTCTCATTCTAGGCTTGTACTGTCTCTGTGTAACCCCTCAGATCACGCCCAGAGCCCCTGCCATGGCACACACCTCCACCCCACCCCATAGCAGTGTCAGGACTTCTGGTCTGGGCATGTATTGGATCCGTGCTGTTTTCGACGTCTAAACCTTCTGGCATCCTCACTTGGTCAACCCTACTCACACTCCCAAGCCCAAGCGTGGAGGTCGCCTCCTACCCCAGAAAGCTTTCCTCGATACTCCCAGCCCATGCGACCACCAGGCCGGTAAAGGGCTCCTCTGTGTTTCTGTGGCCCCCAAGCATATGCATGCCCTTGGACGTATCACAGTGCACTGAGTTTGCTTAGGGGTGTGTCTCTTCCACTGAGGTGAGGCTTGGAGGGAACCGTGCCTCTGAAACCCCAGACCGAGCGCGCTGGCACAGAGCTGCCAGAGAAGGCGCTTGGTATAGATAGGCTGCTCTGGATGGTGGTGCCTGCAGTGTGGCTACACTTGGTGCCCTCACTACCTATTTATCTCCCCATTAGGTGGGGAATCTCTTTCTTCTGGTCTTCCTATATACGGTGCCCTGGGTATTGTACAATTGATTAATAAACACCATGAAAATCTGTGTGTGTTTGTGTTTGATATTTTTAAATTGTTTTAATGGTGGACCTATAATTCAGCAACTGTGCTTTTTAAAAAATAACACATACAATACATTTATGTGTTATTGGGTCATCAAAAAAGTCATGACATTTTCCCATGTTTTCTCTATGCAAAAATGCATTGACTTTTTGTCTTTTTTTTTTTTTTTTTTAAAGAGAGAGAGAGTTTTGCTATAGGGTGCATGCACTCGCCAGAGAGACAGAGAGAGACAGAAAGACAGAAAGTGAGAACTCATCCCCCAGGAGGAAGGCCACACTACAACCCCTTCTCCTCCATTCTCCTCTCAGGATTCTGGGCATGTACACATACCCAGTGTGAGTTTTAAGCCACTGGGTCCAGAACTTGAACTGCAGCCAACTGCGTGAGAGTTTAACAACGTAATCCTTATGCCATCTGCTGGTCCCGCATCATGACTTTTCTGATGACCCAATACAATGCAAATATATTTCTAAATTATATCGAGCCAGATCTTGATGAAACAAGTTTCTATTCTCTGCCCTCCAGGTGGAGAGTTTTTATACCCTTCTGAACACTGTGGCAAAAATGGAAGATTCTTGGTCATGATGCCATCTAGAATCATGGTGCTATAAAGCAGAGGTTACCATATTACCCTACTTAAATCTTTTTAATTCTATGAAATGTGCAAATGTTGAGTCAGATTTCCATCCTAAGTACAGGAGGTGATACATGATCACTAGAAAACAAATCCAAGGCTAGTTGGTGATGTGGTGACTAAGGCGACCAGATCCCACATGGCTGACTGTGTGGCTCGAGTCACAGATCTGGTGGCTTGAAAAACATGCTGGGTACATGTACATGAATGTCCAAAATGCTGGGAGGGGAATGGAAGAGAAAGGATTGTAGTGTGGTCATCTCCCTTCACATTTTCTCTCTCTCTATCCCTAGTGAACACATGGATCCTAGAGCAAATTAAAAAAGAAAAAAGAAAAAAAAATCTAGGTCAGGTCTAGGGTTATTATTTGACTGCTGGAATCTGGAAACCCCTCTATAGCAGAAAGATGCAAAACGTCCACTTGGACCTTGAGAATTGTTTGTTCCAACCTCTCTGGGTTTTCTCTCTTTGTTTCAATTGCTTGGTTTGTGAGTAGTTGTTGTTGACACCGGATCTGTATCGTCTGTGATTTGGAAAAACCCTTCTCAGAATCATGGCTGGATCATGTCTACGGTTTTTGCTCCATGTCCAGGTGAGTTCTCCATGTGGCCCGAGGTTTCTCCCTCATGACTTAGGACCCACTGCCAACGGGGTCCCTCGTCTTCTACTTCACTCTTGTGGCCCAAGTCTAGCTTCCCACTCAATTCCCTGGCACTGTGGCAGAGGGAAGGATACCTGCTTTTCCCAGAGACGTTTGAGCTTGAGTGACCACGATCAAGTCTTACGGCCTTAGTCCATCACAATATAGGTAGCACCAGCAAGCAAACTGAGATCACAGAAGTACAACTGATTTCCCAGGTCTCTGGAGATTTAAGGGGACTTTTAAAAAAAATTGCTAAACCCTCCGGAAAGTAAACTAATGACCTTCTGTAACTTCTGGTCTTGAATTCCATTCCTGATTTGAGTTGACTGAACACAGAATTCAGTGGGCCTCAAGCACCATTATTTGTGTCTGGCTTCCAATACAAACAGTGCCTTATTGGCAGAGGGTGCTGAAAGTCCTGCCAGCTCAGCTGTCTGAGGCTTATATAAACTGTGGGGCCTTGTGTGTGCCCTGGTTTCTCTGAAGATAACAAGGACGGCTGCATGAACTTTATTATGTTTGAAAACCATATGAGGGTTTATTACCCATTCCAGCTCAGACTGCGCTCCACCTTGGCAAGGCAGCAGGTAGACACGATAACCAAACTAGAGCCTCACTTGACAAGTGAGAAAATGGACACTTAAGAGGTCACGTAGCTAGTGGGTAGAGGAGCCAGGATTCAAGACTACCAAGTCTGAGCACCAATTCCTAATGCCATAGGCTGTCCACAGCTAGTCAAGTAGGGGAGTCCGATGTAGTGGGCAGAGCTCTTCCAACCCCCTGCCCCAACTCTGCCATTCTGCGAATCTGGAAACCCCTCTATAGCAGAAAGATGCAAAACGTCCACTTGGACCTTGAGAATTGTTTGTTCCAACCTCTCTGGGTTTTCTCTCTTTGTTTCAATTGCTTGGTTTGTGAGTAGTTGTTGTTGACACCGGATCTGTATCGTCTATGATTTGGAAAAACCCTTCTCAGAATCATGGCTGGATCATGTCTACGGTTTTTGCTCCATGTCCAGGTGAGTTCTCCATGTGGCCCGAGGTTTCTCCCTCATGACTTAGGACCCACTGCCAACGGGGTCCCTCGTCTTCTACTTCACTCTTGTGGCCCAAGTCTAGCTTCCCACTCAATTCCCTGGCACTGTGGCAGAGGGAAGGATACCTGCTTTTCCCAGAGACGTTTGAGCTTGAGTGACCACGATCAAGTCTTACGGCCTTAGTCCATCACAATATAGGTAGCACCAGCAAGCAAACTGAGATCACAGAAGTACAACTGATTTCCCAGGTCTCTGGAGATTTAAGGGGACTTTTAAAAAAAATTGCTAAACCCTCCGGAAAGTAAACTAATGACCTTCTGTAACTTCTGGTCTTGAATTCCATTCCTGATTTGAGTTGACTGAACACAGAATTCAGTGGGCCTCAAGCACCATTATTTGTGTCTGGCTTCCAATACAAACAGTGCCTTATTGGCAGAGGGTGCTGAAAGTCCTGCCAGCTCAGCTGTCTGAGGCTTATATAAACTGTGGGGCCTTGTGTGTGCCCTGGTTTCTCTGAAGATAACAAGGACGGCTGCATGAACTTTATTATGTTTGAAAACCATATGAGGGTTTATTACCCATTCCAGCTCAGACTGCGCTCCACCTTGGCAAGGCAGCAGGTAGACACGATAACCAAACTAGAGCCTCACTTGACAAGTGAGAAAATGGACACTTAAGAGGTCACGTAGCTAGTGGGTAGAGGAGCCAGGATTCAAGACTACCAAGTCTGAGCACCAATTCCTAATGCCATAGGCTGTCCACAGCTAGTCAAGTAGGGGAGTCCGATGTAGTGGGCAGAGCTCTTCCAACCCCCTGCCCCAACTCTGCCATTCTGCCTGCTCCTCTCTTCTGCATCCCCCATGGCATCTGCATCCTGACTCCACTCTCACCCACTGCCCCCTCACTAAGAGCCCTCTGGTTCCTGTGGTTATATCAGCTTCTCCACTGAAGTCACATTAACCCCTTGGCGGAAGAGAGGGACCAGCTCTAATAAGTTTTATGTCTCCAAAACACTTGTTACAGTTCCTGGAACAAAACCAGTTCTCGAAGGTGATGCTAGTAGTATGAAAGGCAGCTCACAGGCATTGTCTCATCAGATCCTGGTAGAAACATTAAGAAGCAGGATGGACAATGACTGCTCTCTCCACTTTGCAGAAGAAGAAATGTTCAGGGAGGGATCTGCCCATTGGAAAACAGCCCTTCTGACTGTCACTCTTTTTTTTTTTTTTCCACTATAGTGCGCGTGCGCTCGCCAGACAGAGAGAGACATAGAGACAGAAAGCGAGAAATCACCCCCCAGGGGGGATGGTCACGCCGCAATCCCTTCTCCTCCATTCCCCTCTCGAGATCTTGGGCACGCACGCGAACGCACATGCACCCGGCGTGAGTTTTAAGACACCGGGGTCCGGGACGCGAACCACGGTCGACTACGTGGGAGTCCAGCGACATAGCCATTACGCTAACTGCTGGTTCCCCTGACTGTCACTCTTGATCTTCCCCATCTCAGATCCTTTTCCCCCTTCTCCTTTTACTGACGCAGATCCTATCATGAGCCCCATTGGACTCTAGACCATCTTGGCTGCATAAGGATTGCATGGGCTGACCCTTCAACACACTCTTATTAACATGTACACCAACCAAATTAGTGGCTAGAACAGGACAAATGACCCCCTCGAGGGGACAAACAGAAGGAGCTGTGCTTGACACCCTATTAGAACTTCTGTCCATCCCAGGAATCTCAGAGTGGACTCCTGCATTATTAATTATTATTATTTTTTTGAGAGGTTTTTCGCTATAGGGCGCATGCGCTCGCCAGACAGACAGAGACATAGAGACAGAAAGCGAGAAATCACTCCCAGGGGGGCTGGTCACGCCACAATCCCTTCTCCTCCATTCTCCTCTCGGGATCTTGGGCACGCACACACACACGCCCAGCGTGAGTTTTAAGCCACCGAGTCTGGGACGTGAACCACGGTCGACTACATGGGAGTCCAGCGACATAGCCGTTATGCTAACTGCTGGTTCCCAGCATTATTAACTATTTTAATTAGTGATTTAAGAAATTATTTTATTTGGGAACCAGCAGTTGGCATAATGGATATATTGCTGGACTCCCATGTAGTCGACCGTGGTTCACGTCCCAGACTCGGTGGCTTAAAACTCACGCTGGGCGTGTGTGTGTGCGTGCCCAAGATCCCGAGAGGAGAATGGAGGAGAAGGGATTGTGGCGTGACCAGCCCCCCTGGGGGGGGATTTCTCGCTTTCTGTCTCTATGTCTCTGTCTGTCTGGCGAGCGCACGCGCCCTATAGTGAAAAACCTCTCCAAAAAAAAATAAATTAATTATTTAATTTTATTTATCATCATCATTACATTTTTAAATGAGATTTTTGTGATAGGGAGCTTGCACTTGCTGGAGAGAAAGAGCTAGAGACTGAAAGTGAGAAATCACCCCCAATGGGGGATGGCTATGCCTCAATCCCCTCTCCATTCTCCTCTTGGGATTTTGGGCATGTACACACATGGCATGAGTTTTAGGTCGCCAGATTTGGGACTCAAATTGTGGTGGCAACTTAACCATTAGGCCATCTGCTGGATCCATTATTAATATTTTTAAAAATTTAACCAAAGAGAAACAAGAGAGAGAGAAAATGAGAAAGCAAACCCCTAGGTCTGGGACTCAAACTGTGCTCAGCCTGTGAGAGTCCAGAGCCTTAAGCACCATGCAGCCTGCCAACCCTGTAATTGGTAATAATTAACAATGCAAGCGACCTGCTTGCAAACCACCGAATCTGAGGAGCTTTCTAGATGTTTTCAGGTTGGGTTCTCCAGAAGCAGCTCTTGAGTCAGGGATCCCAGAACCTGTGAATAATGAAGGGGTTGGTCTCCAACAAAGGGGGAATGGGGAATGCAGGGATGCAGACTCAGAGGGAATCTGGCTGTGCCCGATCCCACGGAAAGCTCTGGAGCATGAATTACACCAGAGAACTGGCTCCACTTTTAAGCAATGGACTGGGTGTTTATTTTATTTTATATTTATTTTATTTATTTTATTTTATATTATATTTTACTTATTTTATTTTGGAAAAAGACAGGAAAGAATTTATTCAGAAGAAAGGGGCCAGATGCAGAGAGTTGCATCAACCCTGAAGGGTGGGGGTCAGAGGATTTTACTGGGTTTTGAAGGCAAGAGGTTTAGGGTTTGGCTAACTGGGGCAGTTCTGAGAACAGGCTGCAGGGTGATCTTTCACAGCACCTGGGCTATTTCATTGATTCCTCTGGTTGTCATATCTGACCACTCTGATCTACCATTTATTTGGATGTTGATTGATGCCCTAGAGTCAGCAAGAGATGGTTTCAGTCTCCCTAACCCTAGGCAGAGGCTTCTGCATCCTCACAGTCATTTGAGTCTAGAGAGCTATCCTCCTTCCTGGCCACCTGCTGCCCTATCTCGAGCGTCTTTGCTCCTCTTCCTCCTCCGTTGGCACTGTGCCTCCTGCGGCGGCATCTGGAACTCAGAACCCACTTTCTGCTTGAGAGACAGGATGTTCCCAATGGCCGCCTGTGCTGTCTTGGTTTGCTGTCTCCAACGCCCACACCACTTTGGTGCAGAGAAAAGAGTGCCTCCACCTTGCTGTGCGTGGGGCTTTTAAAGCCCCTGTCAGTCAGTCATTGCCTGAGGCCTGGGGGGCTAGGTGTCTTCTGTTGGGCCCACCCAGGCAATTCTCCAGAGGAGCGGGCAGTTGAAAAGAGCAGCCCACGTCCCAGCCGCAGCCTGGTAGAGATATTTTGGTAGGGCACTAGTGTCTCCTACAGTTGGGATTCAGTAACTGGTGATCTTGGGTAGCGGGACATTTCAGGCCTCCAAACGGCTACACGATGCGATGGGATTCCCTTGCAAACTCTGACCTGCACTACTAGAAACTGACAGTTGAGACTTAAAATTAACACAAGAGGGCCAGTGGTATGGTGGTTAAGGTGGCTGCATCCCACATGGCTGACCGCACAGCTTGAGTCCTGACCTGGCAGCTTGAAACACACACTGGGTTGTGTCTGCCCTAAATCCCTAGAGGTTAATGGAGAAGAAAGGATTGCAACGTGGCCGTCCCTCCAGGATGGGGAGTGGGGGTAAGTGGGGATGGGGGGATGTGTGCTTTTGCAATTCTCCCCACCCCAGTCTCTGGTAAGCACACATGCCCTATTATAGCAAAAAAGAAAGGAAAAAAAAAAGAAAAAATGAAATGAATACAAGAAATGCCGGGGCTTACTCACCAGGGCCCGTAAGGACTCCGTCTCAGCCTGGAGGCTCTGGACTTGGCATGAAGTGTTGTGTAACTCCACCCTGAGGGCAGAGGCCAGCTTCTCTTCCTGGGTCTGGGCCATCCGGGCCACTTCCCCCTGTGGCTGTGGAGAAGCAGGTCTCAGGGTGAGGATGGTGAGTCCAGTCGGAACCTCTCCTACCCCTCAGCCTTGCTCATCACCACCCCCTGCCTCTACCCAGAGGAAACAGATCTGCTAGATTTTAAATTCCCCTATCCCGACACGCCCCCTTGCTAACAAAAGTGTATTTTTTTTTGGACATATAATACCTGCAAATGGAATAAAACGGAAAAGATTTCCTAAAGAATGTACAGAAGAGGACTGGTAGGTGGCATGGAGAGTAAGGAGGCTGGATCCCATGTGACCTACTGTACGGTTTGAGTTCGGGACCCCACGGCTTGAAAGACATTTTAGGCTCGTGTACGTACATGCCCAAAAATCCCAAGAGGAGAATGAGAAAGGGGATTGTGGTGTGGCCATCTCCCCAGGGGGTAATTTCTCACATTTCCTCTCTATCTCTTCTCTGTCTCTTTGATGAGCACACACGCCCTATAGAAAAAATAAAATAAGGAAATACAGTAGAAAGTTTCCTTTTCTCCATGCGTCCTAATTACCCAGTTTTCCTGCTTCCAGTTTCTTGTACCCACTTCCAGAAATATTTTGTATATTTACACAATCACCCCTTTGCTTTTGTACTAAACATATCTTAGAAATTATTCTGTCCGTATGTAGAGATTGATTACTTGTTTGTTTGTTTGTTTGTTTGTTTTCAGAAATAAACCCCCAAACGTACAGCCAACTGAATTTTGACAGAGGACACCAGACAATTCAGTGGGGAAAAGAAAAATCTTTTTAGCAAATGGTGCTGGGAAAACTGGGTATCCACTTTCAGAAAGATGAAACTGGTGGCTTAAACTCACACCGGGCACGTGTGTGTGCGTGCCCAAGATCCCGAGAGGAGAATGGAGGAGAAGGGATTGTGGCATGGCCATCCCCCCTGGGGGGTGATTTCTTGCTTTCTGTCTCTCTGTCTCTCTCTGTCTTTCTGGTGAACACACACACCCTATAGCAAAAAGCTCTCCAAAAAAAAAACAAGAAGAAAAAAGAAAGATGAAACTGGATCCCTATCTCTCACCATTAACAAAAGTTAACTCAAAATGGACCAAAGATCCAAAGCTAAGAGCTCAAACTATAACATCACTGGTGGATAATACAGGAGAAACTCTTAGAAACATCAGAGTAGGCAAAGACTTCCCAAATAAGACCCCCAAACACAGGCAATAATCCCTAAAGTAGACAAGTGGGATTATATCAGACTAAAAAGCTTCTGCACAGAAAGAGAAATAATAATTAGAGTGAACTGGCAACTCTTGGAATGGGAAAATATATTTGCAAACTATACCTCAGACTGATAACCAGACTATAAAGGGAACTCAAGCAGCTTATCTGGGAAAAAATATGTAAAAGATGGGCAAATGAGCTGAATAAACAACTCTCTAAGGAAGATATACAAATAGCCAAAAAGCATGTGAAAAAAATGTTCAACATCCCTCATCATGAGGGAGATGCAAATCAAAAACACAATGAGATACCACCTAACCCCAGTCAGAATGGCTAAGATTAAAAGAACAAAGAATGATAAGTGTCCGTGAGGCTATGGAGAAAAACGAACTCTCCTACACTGTTGATGGGAATGTAAATTAGTACAGCCATTGTGGAAAACAATATGGAGATTTCTCAAAGATCTACGAATCTAATATGATCCAGCAATTCTACTCCTGAGTATCTAACCAAAGGATAGGAATACACTCAGCTGGAAAGACACTTGCGCATCCATATTTATTGTGGCAATATTCACAATTGCTGAGACGTCGAACCAACTCAAATATCCACGAACAGATGAATGGATTGAAAAAATGTGGGACATATACACTATGGAATACTACTCAGGCATAAAAAATGAGACCCTGGCATTTGATAGAAAGTGAATGAATATGAAAGATTTACTGCAAAGCAAAACAAGCAAGACTATGAAATAGGGGCATCGTATGTCCCCATTCAATATATACTATACGTCTGCACACTATGGCAGAAACTGAAAGATTGGGAGGCATAAAAGCATGGAGAGCAACTGTGGATACTGGACACAGTGTGGGGCGAGGGTGGAAAATGGGGAGGGGCGAGAGGGAGGGAATCAAGGGGGAAAAGAAAGAAGCAAAACATTCAAAGGACACATAAATGGAACATTATCTGTTGATGACAATGTGTATGGAAATATCATTGACTAGACTAATATACAAGATATTTATGCAGGGAAAGTTATGTGTTCTAATGATATACAGTGATTGAATGTAAAAAAAGATATCTTTTGAAAAAACAAATATAAGAAAAAAAGAAAAGAATACACAAAATGCCATTAATACAGGCCAGTAGGTGGCTAGTGGTTAAGGTGCTGAATTCCCACATGGCTGACCATGGTTCAAGTTCAAGACCCAGTGACTGAAAGTCACATCAGGTGTGTGTGTGTATGCTCAAAATTCTTAAAGGAGAATGGAGGAGAAGGGATTGTGGTATGGCCACCCCCCCGGGGGGTGATTTCTCACTTTCTTGCTATCTCTCTGTCTCTCCCTGATGAGCAACATGCACCCTATAGAAAAAAATATTTTTTTAAATGTTAATAATGTAAATTAAACTTTTTTTTTTGAGAGGCTTTTGCTATAGGGTGCATGTGCTTGCCAAAAAGACAGAGAGGACAGAGGGGCACAAAGGCAGCAATCCCCCCCCCCCCGAGGGAGATTGGCCACACCACTATCCCTTATTCTCCATTCTCCTCTTGGGATCTTGGGCACGCACACACACGCACCCAACGTGAGTTTAAGCCACCAGGTCCAGGACTCGAACCACAGTTGACTACATGAGAATCCAGAGACAGCCATCAGGCCAATTGCTGGTCTCTGAAAATTAAACTTTAAAGTATGTCATGTCTGTTGTTGTTACATTCTAAGTGACTCACAAAAAAAGGAATGTTTTTCTAATATGTGAAAATTATTGAGTGACCAAGGCGACTAAAGCTATGCTCTAACCCTCATCTTCTAGACCCCTGAAACACTCAGACAAGGCCTAGGTGCACAGTAGCCAAGCATCTGAATACTCAGAAATCCTCAACACTTATTGAATCTCCTGCTTGAAGAAAGAAATTTCTTTTTATACATCTGAGCTCATAATCTCTTCCTGTGGATACCACATTGCAAAACATCGTAGAGAAGAGATGTTGTCACAGAGTGACCAGAAACCACTGCAGAGGCACAAAAAATACGAGAAATCAAGAAAATATCGCTCCCGTAAGTGAAAATAACAATCCTTCATTATCAATAGACAGTACAATGGAACTTGTGAAAATGTCTGATACAGAATTCAGAATATTCATAGTGACAAAACGTAATGAGATGCAAGAGCTGAGAGACAATGAGCTCCAGGAGAAAAGAGAGAATGTGTTCCAGGAGGTGAGGAAGTCCTTACATGATCTGAAAGAGGAAATACACACCATAAAAAAGAGTCAAATGGAGCTGTTAGAGATGAAGGCTGCAATACAGGAAATCAAAACCTCCCTTGAAACTATTAAAAGCAGATTAGTCCATGCAGAAGATCGAATCTCAGATGTTGAAGGCTAAACCTCTGACCTAGAAAAAACAATCTAAAAAACCAAGAAGATAATAAAAAGAAATAGAATATTATACGAGAAATACTAGATATCATTAAGCACCCAAACATCTGGATAATCAGTATCCCAAAAGATGAAGAAATAATAAGAACATTGATAATCTATTCCATGAAATCCTGGAAGAAAACTTTCCAAACGTAGAGGGGCATTCAACTACCCAGACCTAAGAAATACAAAGGACTCCAAATAGAATAAACACAAGAAGATCTTCTCCAAGGCACATCATGGCCAGACTGGCAAAATCCACAAAGACGAGATATTAAAATTGGCAAGAGAGAAACATCAGTTACCTTATAAAGGTTATCCCATTAGGCTAACATCAGATTTCTCATTCATAACAATGCAACAAGAAAAGAATCGGAAAATATATTAAAGTGTTGAGTGAAAACAGTTTCAACCAAGAATACTATACCCAGCAAGATTATCCTTCATATGAGAAAAGATAAAAACATTTTCAGATAAACAAAACCTGAAAGAATTTACAAACACCAGACTAGCTCTTCAAGAAGTTCTGAAAGGAGGGAACCAGTAGTTAGCGTAATGGCTATGTCGCTGGACTCCCATGTAGTCGACCATGGTTCACGTCCTGGACGCGGTGGCTTAAAACTCACGCCGGGCACGTGTGCGTGCATACCCAAGATCCCGAGAGGAGAATGGAGGGGAAGGGATTGTGGCGTGGCCATCCCCCCTGGGGGGTGATTTCTCGCTTTCTGTCTCTATGTCTCTCTCTCTCTGGCGAGCGCACGTGCCCCCAAATAGGAAAAAAAAAAAAAAAAAAAACTCCCCCCCCCAAAAAAAAAAGTTCTGAAAGGAGTGCTTTACCAGGAAAACAAAAGACACACATACAGAAATAAGAGAACAAAGGCAACCAAGAAAATTACCAACTTAAAGCTAGAGACAGGGAATATCAATAATAACGTTGAATGTTAACTTCCAGGATTTAAAGGGAAAGATCGGACCACAGTAACACTGCAAATTCAACAGAAGAGAGATTAATTACATAAGACTAAACTGGTGACATAGAATTTTATGACTTTTGAGTAAAACATTACTGATTTTTTTCTTTACTATGCTTTGTTTTCTCAATTTAAGGAGTTTGTTTTCTTTTGAGTTGTTGATAGGTTCAGCAATATCTTAAAATGTTTTTCTTCTTGTTTGTTTGTTTCTTTAAGTGGAAACATAAACTCTTCTCCCTTCCTGACCCCTCTGGAATGGGAAAATATTTGGGAGTATTGTTATTTTGTGGGAGAATGGTTATTTGCATAAACTCAATAATACCTGTTGCCTTGAATCAGAAATTAGAAATACTTGTTATTGGACAGGGCTTTGACTGGAGGTTTGTATCCAAAGATTAAACCAAAAA